CATATGCGTGTTTTCTTCTTTAACACACTATGTGAATGAAAAGAGCATTTTTATTCTAGTTGGCCTCCGTCATTTAGGAATCTAAAACTATTGTTTCAGTAATCAAAATTCAACAGGCTATAGCTTAATTGAAGGGTAAGAGGTAGCAAAAGTAAGCAAGCATATTTTAAAGGAGTTTTATAATATGCCTTAATTAAATAAAGTTGTACTGTACAACATTCCTAATTATACCTGTGGAATTTCTTTTATTGTGCCTAAAGAACATCTTCTCTATGGAAAAATCATTTTACATGAAAGCAGGCATTTTCCACAGGGTGTATAGTATACTAAGCAATAATTTACTTGAATTTAGAATGATGAAAGTGAAGGAAAGAAAAAAAAATATTCTGGCTTGCCCTAGCTACTATTTAGTTTAGGGTGTATATGACTGAACTGAATGTTAATCAGTAGTTTCTTTATAGAGCATTTGCTGTTATCCCAGTAAATGGTACTCAAATGACCCTTCTTTTGGTGAAGTCAAAATTAGAATCAATTCAGATTTTGTAATACTTATTGAATAATCGTGAATAGTGATTGATTGTTGTTAACAGTTCAGGCAAATAGGCTAAATAAGGAAGGTTTTAAGATAGTATCTAGTCAGAATTGCGAGTGGAGTTTTCTAAAAATACCCCAAGATTTCACACTCAAATAAACCCAGATTCTACACAAAAACATCCAAATTAAAAAAACCCACAATAAATCAGTTTTAAGGTAAAATATTTTTGTTTATTATAAGCAATTCTCGACTTTCGACTACAATTGGGGCCAGAATTTCCACTGCTGGGCAGGCTGATGGTTAAGTGAGTCACACACCTGAATTCACAACCTTTTTGCCACAGTTATTAAGTGAATCATGTAATTGTTAAGCCAATCCGGGTTTCCCTGTTGACTTTGCTTCTCAGAAACTGCCTGGATAGGTTGCTAATGGTGATCCCATGACTCCAGAACACTGCAACCATCATAAATACATGTTGGTTTCCAAGTGCCTGAATTTTGATCATGTAACCATAGGGATGCTGTATCGGTTATAAGTGTGAGGACCAGTTATAAGTAACATTTTCCAGTGCCATTGTAAATTTGAATGGCCACTGAATGAATGGTTATACGTCAAGGACTACCTGTACATGCAATGCAATATAATGTGTAGAAGGAACTTAGATTTTAAAATAAAAAACCTAGAAACCCAGACAGGGATAAAAACAAAACAAAAAACAGATCTGGGTTTAAAAACCCAATTCTGGCCCCCTGGCAGCTAATAACTTCCAGACTTACTTAGAATTCACAGCTATCATGGTGTTCATCTAAGTTGGGAAGACTGCTTTAAGGGAATTGTGTAAAACCTTTAGTCACGGAGTTCATACAGTGTATCACTTTAAAAGTCTTCAGTACTTTTAGAATATAAAATAATCAAAAATTATGCATTTAGGTCCAAAGAGAACATTTGTGAAATTAATGGATTTCACTCGTAATACACCAATAAGAGATTAAGGCTGGTCAATACACCTCAAATGGAGTAGACCTGCCAATCAGTAGCAAACTCTGCTGACTTGGTCTATCCTAGCCATTATTTACATCTTTTAATTTTATATTTTATATTGTACACTGCCCAGAGTCATTCTGAAATAAATAAATGATAGAATATTTTTAGTTTAGTTTACATTCCATCAGGAACAGCAATAATGTTGTCTAATCCAGGGCTTTTCAACCAGTGGTACGGATACCTGCTGTGGTACATTGGCACCTGGCTGGTGGTACATGACCATCCTAGAAAAGTGGTAGTGGGGGAGGGGAATGAGCTGAACCGGTGGCAGCACTGCACAAGCCTGAGCAAGAGATGGCTAGAGCTGAAGGGCTGTCAGGGCTCAGTGGAAGCGCCAGGATCAGCGCCAGGCTCCAGCTGGAGCTTGGCACTGATCCTGGCGCTTCTGCTGAGCCCAGAAGAAGCACCGATCAGCTGGAATGTTGCAGCATCTCCAGGGTCTTGTGATTTACATTCAGATGCTTGGCAACTGATTCATATTTATGACGGTCACAGTGTCCCAGGGTCATGTGAAGTGACTAAAACCTGCTGCAACCACCAAGGAGATGGAGAAATAAAAACCAAACACCCCCCACCCCCACCCCCGCTGCCAATCCTCAACAGAAATGCTCACAACAATGAAAACCTCGGACAGGAGGAAGAGCGCAGCCAGGTGGGCAGGCAGGTGTCTTGTTCGGCAGTGGCTTGGGGGACACTTTTTTCAGTGCCATTTTAACTTTGAACAGTCACTAAGCGAACTGTTGTAAGTTGAGGACTATCTGTACTTTATCACTTTTTTCCCTTTTTTTGGGGGGGTCATTAAGTTTTTGACATCATGCTAGGCAACTGGTGGTACTCGGATGTTGCCATATCCCAAAAGTGGTACAGTGGGTGAAAAGGTTGAAAAGCCCTGGTCTAATCCAGTGGTCCCCAACCTTTCCGTCTTGGTGACCATGTGTGGGAGGGGGGAGAGGGAATGGTTCTGGGCGAGTGGTGGGTGCGCACAAAGCTCCATTTGTGTGAGCAAAGCTTCATGCGTGAGCTCAAGCACATGCCGCTCGTGCAAGGGGAGCTGCGTGCTCATGCGCGCATGCCTGACAGAGTTCAAACTGGCCGAGTTTCACACTGGCTGCAGCCTGGGGGTTGGGGACCCCTGGTCCAATTTATGACATGGCAAGGCTGAGAGAATAATGGGGGGTGAGAATACTACTGTACTGCTGTATTCTGAATGCTACTTTGAAGTTCTTGAAAGAAGAATTACACTGAAATGTTTAAAAGGCCTTAGAAGTGACTTAGAATTAACAGATCTCAGGTTTTCAAAAAGGACAAATTACTATGAGAAAATAAAATAAATATTAGGCCCAATAAGACATAGCTTCAAAATAGGAAAGAGAAGAGGAGAGGAAGAAGAGGGAAGTAGGGAAGAGAAGAAAGGGAGAAAGAAGGTAGAGAAGAAGGAGTGTGGATGCAGTGAAAGGGGAAATGGGCGAGCAACACCAAAAGTCATGTGTATTTATTTCATTTTATTAAAAGTATCTTATATATGAATGTAAAAAGAATGTATGTTAACATCTGATAAATATCACAGTATATGTATGGGGAGAGTTTAGAAAAATAAAAAATTATTATGGAAAAAAACTGCTAAAAGTGGGCTCAGTTGCCAAACCTACACTACCATGTGGGATCACACAGGTGCAGAGCTTCTGGGCACTGCAAAGGCTCCCATGTAAAAATGTGCTGGGGGTGGGGAGTGGCGAGAGAGAGGAGAAGATAAAAAGGAGAAGGGAAAAATGTGAAAGATAGAAGAGGGAGATAATCTAGTTGCTTGTATTTAGACTGTATTTATATTTTGGGGTAATAGTTGGAAATGTAGAGAATTCCATGTCAGGAAAAAGAATAGCTCTGTGTTATATGCTCTGGCTTTGTAATAGCTTTATAATAGCTATCATGATTTGCCATACAAACTTGCTAAATTACAGTTGGTGTAACTATAGTCAATAATATGGATGTGTATTTGTGTGCTCGACGAAGAGCTGCCATTTGGAGCACAAGCCCTCAATCTTTTTATAACTGTGTTGTACTTTGATCTGTTGGACTGTAACTCCCATAATCACCAGCCTAAACACAAGCTGACTGGAAATGTTGAGAACTGGAGAAGGCTATATCTCTGATATAAGGAAGTATTTTGTACTGGCATGGTAGGTCATTAAATGAAGCAGCCACCAAGTGAAATGCAATTGTGCTTGTGATCTTACTCTAGCTTTTATTTGCTTTGGACCTGCAAAGATTGTAAATGCGAAAGATTGATCGCAAAGTTACTGTTCCATTATGGTTATGACTGTGAACGGTCACTAAATAAGGCCGTTACTGAATGAGAACTATCTGTACTGGAAGCAACAGCTTTAAAAAAATTGTTGTTTGTATTTTTGAATGAATGCATACAGCAAGCATCAACTCTGTTGCTAGTCAACACTGCCAGAAACTAAGAGAGCAAATCACATCATAGACATCATTGCATCGTTAGGCAGATTTAGTGGTGGGATTCAGCCGGTTCACACCACTTCGGCAAAACCGGTAGCTAATTTTTTGTTGCCCAGGCCCAGAATGGACTTCTGGAAGCGGCATCCACACTGAGAACCAGTTGTTCACATATTTGAATCCCACCACTGGGCAGATTGTGTAATTTGCATCATTACAAGATCATAGATCACAGAATTAGCACCCTTTGGGCAATAACATGATACATGTGATGGAAACATTCGTGATACAATAATATTTAATATCTCTTTATCCTGACTGTATAGATTTGTATGAAAAAATAAAATGTCTATGGAGCTGCTCAGTCATCCAGTTCATAGTTATCCCAAAGGTGCTTTTTGACATGGCAACTGGACTTTCTTGTTTTTTCTTTGAAGACGTTTCGCTTCTCATCCAAGAAGCTTCTTCAGCACTGAGCTGAAAAAGCTTCTTGAATGAGAAGTGAAACGTCTTCAAAGAAAAACAAGGAAGTCCAGTTGCCTCATCAAAAAGCACCTTTGGGAAAAAATAAAATGTACAAAAGATTACCCCCATCACCTTTACTCCACAGTTTGTGCAATAAATGTGCACATTGTTATTTCCTGCAAAACAGCAACACCGTTTTGTCATGTCCTTTACAGACACACAAGCATAGCGTTTTCATGTATGGGACACATTTGGAACCTAGGAAAGAGTTGGGATGGGTGTTGGCAAACGTTTCTCTGTTCCTTACTTTACCATAATCTTGCTGTGGGGAAAAGCATATACTGTAACTCTGAGGAGCAAGCAAAACTGATGTTATCTTGTGACTAACGGAGAACAGGTGTATGTGAGGATGCCCAATAATGGGAGATATTGGAACTTGGGAAACAAATCTGGAAAAAAGGGACATTATTAACATTAATTCTGTGCTCTTTCTTTGTAGTTTGGTTACAAGTCCAGGATTGTTCAGTCCAGCCGTAGAGAGGAGAACAAAATGAACCACCAAGCCCAATACAGAAGGTGCAGAGGGCAATGGAAGTGAAGCAAGAGGGCTTGAAAATGTCTGTGTGCAGTGATTTTGTGGAGCACATCTGGAAGCCTGGCTCCTGCAAAAACTGTTTTTGTCCCAGAAGTTTTCACCAACTGCAGGCACTTTCCCTTGATCAGCAAGGCAGCAGTGAAGCCTTGCAAGATTTGAATGGAATTGGAGCCAAAGTTGAAAATACGCCTTGGGCAGATGACAGTCTAATTTCCTTCTCTTACTCGAAGCCAACTATTGCTGTTAAACCAACTATGATAACCTCGGATGCTACTGGCATGTGGGCGGATGGGAACTTGAATACAGATGCCTCACAGGTAATGATTAATAAGGGGTGTGGTGTATTTTACAAGGTTGCTTCTGTTGTAAAATTTGTAACTGCCTGAGAGCAGTCTTTGTATTTGTTATGGCAGGACTTGGCAGAAATGAATTCTTTCAATTTCTGGAGCAGTCAGGGAGATATGCAGCAATCAGCAGGCCCCAAAAATCTGCTTCTTAGTAAAATGGGAGATTCTTCAGACATTTATGATGCTAGTGAGCAAGATGTTTTTGGTTTAAAAGCCAACAGAAGAGCTCAGATACCTCTTGGTATGAAAAGATCTTACCTGTTGCACTTTGATCCTTTGATTCTCCAATCCAGTTGAGTCGCATCACTGCTCTGACGAAGCATCTTCCAGTTGACCAGGCTTGACTTCCAACCTTCTGAGCTCAGTTGATCTGAGATTCAAATATTTTCCAGCTGGGTCCAGATTCTTCGGGGAATCACGGTGCCATCTGCCCTATTCCCAACCTCTTTGGAATACATGAATAGAATTCAGTTTGGAAAAATACCTCCATGAAAGAGAAGTGTTGATTGACCCAATCAACTCATCTCAGTTTTCCATCCTTTGGCTGGCTAATGATATAAGTTTAAATTTCCTTGGACTGAAATATGAGAACGGTAAGCAAAATAACATGAAACAACAACTTTTTTTAAAAAAAATGCACACCCCATTATTACTGGAAGTAGGAAGACCTCGTGTGAAAGGACTGAGATGAACAATTTTTCAGACTCAAGACTCTGTCTCTCACCTGATTGGTGTAAAATAGCTACATCTTTTAAGGCATTTGGCAATCTCGCCTCAGGATCGGTATGAAAAAAACAAAATCTGTCCCCAGTATCATTTTAACATTTGCAGATCTCTAATGAGATTCCCCCAAACTTGTGGGTATTTAATGAAGTTGCAAGATTTGGGGCATTTGATGGGCAAGAATATGCTGTTAGGTGGGCATTGAGCCTGGTACCCTAGCTGCCATGTCACTATCAGTCTAGATTTCAGCGGAACCTCCTCCTTTGGGTAATTCTTTTTTGGATTGAATAGTTGAGTCTCCCAGACAGGGAAGCTTAAGAAAGATGATTAGGGGACTGGAGGCTAAAGCATATAAGGAAAGGCTGCTGGAATTGGGTATGTCTAGTTTAACGAAGAGAAGGGCGAGCGGGGACATGATAGCAGTGTTCCAATATCTCAGGGACTGCCACAAAGAAGAGGAAGTCAAGCTATTTTCCAAGGCACCTGAAGGCAGGACAAGAAGCAACGGATGGAAACTAATGAAGGAGAGAAGCAACCTAGAACTAAGGAGAAACTTCCTGACAGTTAGAACAATTAACCAATGGAACAACCTGCCTCCAGAAGCGGTGAATGCTCCAACACTGGAAGTTTTTAAGAAGAGACTGGACAGCCATTTGTCTGAAATGGTATAGGGTTACCTGCCTGAGTAGGGTTGGACTTGATGACCTCCAAGGTCCCTTGCAACTTTATTATTATTATTATTATTGTTGTTGTTGTTGTTGTTAGTATTAGTATTATTATTATATCAGCTGTCTCTAAACTTCAGTAGGAATTGACCAGATTTCGAACTAATGTGCAGGTTGAAATTTTGTTTTATTGACCTTGATAAATGTTACAACCTAGCTTTCAAGTTAACAAACAGTAACAAAACAGATTGGCAAATATATATATTTTAAAAGGGTTCTTTTCAATTGAAATGGAGTCTTTCAGGTGGATTTTAAAAAACAAGGTTATTATTTATTCATTATAAATGCCATTCAATCCTTCTGAAAACCTAGAGAGCTTATGAGAGTAATAAAATGCAGATTATAAACAAAGCAACTTTACTGTAATTTATATACAGATAAAACCATACATTAACATTAATTAGCTAACGATTAAAAGCTGGGTGATAGAGATGTACTTTTTCAACTTCCCAAATACTGGGAGAGTGAGGGTCAAATTCATATCCCTGGAATGTGTTCCACAGCCTGGAAGTGATGCAGGAAAAGCCCCTTTCCCATGTAGCAGATAATTGAACCATCAGAAGGAGTATCTTCAAAAGGTCTCTCCTATTCATCTGAGTACCTGGAGAATTTTCATTGGGAGATGCAGATAGTCAGGCCTTAAGATTTATAAGACGACACCAATGCCTCGAATTGTGCCCAGTTGGCAATTAGCAACCAATGCAGATCTTTTGAAACAGAAATGATATGATCGCTTTGTCTTGCACCAATCAGCAGCCTAGTCACTACATAGTGATTTCCTTACAGTCACAAGAATGGGAGAGGAAAGACAGACGATGATTCCAAGGCTTATTCATAAAATGCTAATCTACAGTTTACCATTAAGTCCGAATGTAGTCAATGCCAGTAATGTTTATTTACATACGCCAGCCAGACTTTACTCATTTATTTTATTTTAGTCATAAAGCTGCTTTCCAAATTAGTTAACTGCAAATATTTTAAAAGAATCCATTTTAAACATGCTAGGCAGCTTATCATGAAAGTGCTGCTTATGCTATTGAAGTGTTGGGATCAGATTGAGAAGATCTTCTAGATTGAAAAACCTACACAGTTAAAAGAACAAAACCTCTCTGGGAAACAGTGCTAGTGTACCTTTCAGCCTGGCCTCTGTAATAAATGTGCAGAGAGAGTAAATCATGAAGAAGGAATCATGTATGTCAAACTCAGCTGCTTAGAAGAATAGCAATGGGTAGAAATGCTGTATGTTAAAAAAAAAAAAAAGTAAGACAAAACTAGCAATAAAACTATTGATATCACCCCTTTACTCTGATAAAAGTAGAATGATCTAAACCAGTACACAGGATCATTTTTTAAAAAGCCCTCTATAACTAATAATCATCTTAATACAATCTTTTGCTATTACCTAATAAACCCCAAATTTAATACAATTTTATGGGGGGGAGTGTTACTCTTCTATATGGCAGACATAGACAAGATGTAATTCGACCATCCCAGAAAGTAGAAATACCCTGTGAGGATATATCACCCAGATTCTGCCATCTTTCCTTTATTTACTAGTCCATTTTTCCTTTATTTACTAGATCACCAAAGTAACAAATTTTGTAAGAAGCTGTGGTCTTCCAGTCTCTTGCGTAACAGGAGAACAATTCAGAAAAAGGGCTGCCCAAAGAATTAAGGATCTAGCACAAAATGATATAGCGATCCTTAGTAAGGTGGGTAACTTGAAATGGCTGAGTAAATACAAGCGTACTTTTCAAGTAGACAGCTATTTGAAGTTACAACTGCCAAAACATCTTAGGGAGGTATTTACGCGAGCGAGATTCGAACAGCTTGACACAATGGCCAGATATGGGAGATTCCATTCTGTACCTTACAATGAGCGCCTCTGCATTTGCGGAACGGCAGAGGTAGAAGACTTGGCTCACATACTATTTGATTGTTGCCTGTACAAGAGGGTGAGAGACAGGTACCTCGATCTATATACCAAATGAATGACTCATTGGGATCCCCGTATCAAAACAACTTACCTTATGTGCGGCCAGAACTTGAAAATAACATTTAATGCAGCACGATATTTAAACAAAATGGTTCGGTTGAGATCTGCATATGAGGGACTGATTGGGGTAGATTGCAAGGGTGACTCCAAGATATAATTTTATCACATTTTATCTATATTTTAAATTACTGTACTCTATTTTAATTTCATTTTAGATGGTATTTTACTCCAATTTCATCTTAAGTCATATTTTACGCTAGTTCCATTTTAAACTGTATTTTATCAAATTTTATTTTAAATTGCTTTTATCATACTTTGGTAATGATTTGTTGCTGGAATTTTGCACTTTGATATGGCCCAAGGGCTAATCAATAAAGATTTATTATTATTATTACTGATGAACATTTCAGATTTGGGCTGGATTTATGCACCACACTAAAACAGACGTTGAGAGTCAACAGAACCATTGTGAGCTGATTTACATGTGATGCTAAGTTATAAACCATGCCTTCCACACTGCAGTTGTGGATATACACACTATAAACCATGATCAAATAAACAACATGATGGCATAACACAATACGAAAACCCAGACATCATATAGCTTAAGAACAAGTTTTTCTTCCTATATCCTATCATTGGGCATACTGCGACCATTCATGTAGTTTGCAGTTTCAAAGGAATTCTTGGAAGTAAAGGTGATGTTGGAATCTGACTGCTCCTAATGAAAATATTTTTTTAATGTTAAAAGTCATGTAGGGAAAGAAAGTTGTTGAGACTAAAATAGGTAGATATTGTGCAGGGGAAATGCATTGGAAGTCTATAATCTTACTTATTCAATGTCTCTGTTTTCTTCTAAGTTGCCAAGAAGTATATGGGAGGGATGTCAAGGTATATGCTTGTTTATTTATCAAATTCCTATACCACCCATATCACCTATGTGACTCTGGGTGATTTACAAATAAAAACCTAGAATCAAAAACAAAGTTTAAAAAGAATGAAAGGAAAGTTTTAAAGTTTTTTAAAATTTAAAAGCAGATAGAGCACTGGGTTGTATAACCTTGTATTTAGCAGACAGTTGGAAATAACAAATCCTGTATCCCCCCCCTACAGTTGATCCATTAAATTGAGCTAAAGTTGCCAACATTACTAATAAGGTTGATCATGGGAAGGAACTACTTCCAGTAGTCAGATTATCAACATTGTTAAATTTCTTCTTTTCAGTAAAATTTAGTAGAACTTAAATGTGCCCATCTTCAGTTTTAGAATACCCACTAAATCTGTATAAGAAAGAAAAGCATAGTAAATCTGTATATAAATTGCTAGTAATTTGATTCATTTTATTTATATGCCTTACGGTAAACTATTTTTTTCACTAAGGTCATAATCCCATTGATTCCAAATACTTAAAAATTATTCAACATTTTCTAAATCTTTGTTATATTTTTTAAGAAGATGGATACAGCCATGTTATAGAAGATTCTAATAGAGCTGTATATGAAGTATTTCTGTCTTTTATTTATTTATAAAATTGATATGCCATTCATCTTGTGGTGTGAGGTCACATATAAATCCCCACCCCCATCTTGGAGAAATGTCTATCTTGCTACATTTCATCTTTGATCAATGCAGGTCAATGAGATCAAAAGGAAGCCTCAGAACATCTCAGAAAATCGTCCTTTATTCCTTGGCCCATCTGGTCCTGAAAGGGCAGAAAGAAATATGTCATACAGTAAAGAGGTACGTGTCCATGGGGTCAAAGCACTCAATAAGAGGAACGCGGTCGTGCTGATTTGGAGTCTCAGTCTCATTCCTGTCTCACTTCTGAGAAAAATGTTCTTCTATCTACCCAAGGGGAACAGCAACACCACTACAGGTAGTCCTTGAGTTATGAATGTAACTCGAAAACTCATAGAGTGAATCTAGTTCCTTTAGCGAGATCAGTCTCTTGCTTGTTAAAGCACACGTGGCTCGTTGAGTAAACATCACAGGGTAGGGAAGGCCATGGAGGGCCTAGAGATGGAACAGGCCCCCAAGGCCTCCCTGACCCACTAAGATACCTCATGCTTCCCCCTCCCTTTCTGCCGCACAGGACTCACCTGGAAAAGGTCTGTCTCCTCGTTGCCACGGTTCCTGCTGCTGCTCCAATCTGAGGCCAGGGGATGCGTCCACAGCCCCCTGCAGCTTGATCCAGTCTCTGGAGGGCTGGAAAAGGCATCCAGAGCCCAGATCTATGGCTGTGGGGCAATTTTGCAGCCCCCAGCAGCCCAATCTGGGCTCCAGAGGCCTTTTCCAAGCCTCCGGAGCCCGGATCCATGGTCACGGAGCGATTTTGCAGCCCCCTCGGCCTGATTCGGGCTCCGGAGGCCTGGAAAAGACCCCCAGAGCCCAGATCCATGGTCACGGAGTGATTCCCCCCCCCCGCGGCCCGATTCTTGCTCCGGAGGCCTTTTCCAAGCCTCCAGAGACCAATCCATGACCGCAGAGTGATTTTGCGGCACCCAGCAGCCCAATCCGGGCTCCAGAGGCTTTTTCCAAATCTCCGGAGCCCAGATCCATGGCCATGGAATGATTTTGCAGCCCTCCAGAGGCCTAGAAAAGACCTCCAGAGCCCAGATCTATGGTCATGGAGCGATTTTTGCCCCCCTCCCCGCAGCCCAATCCGGGCTCCAGAGGCCTTTTCCAAGCCTCCAGAGACCAATCCATGTCCACAGAGCAATTTTGCAGCCCTTCCGTCACCCGATCCGGGCTCCAGAGGCTTTTCGAAGCCTCCAGAGCCTGGATCCATGGCCGCAGAGTGATTTTGCAGTCCCCCAGCAGTGGAGCCCAGATCAGCCACGGGGGGTGGTACAAAATCATTCAGCGGCCATAGATCCGGGCAGCAGAGGCCTTTTCCAGGCCTCTGGAGCCCTGATCCAGCTTCTGGAGGCACGTCAAAGCATCCCCCAGCTTCGGGTTGGTTCTCTGTTGCAGAGAACAGAGGCCTAAAGAACCATGAGATCACGTGAGATCAGTAGTGTGAGATCTCACTCCATTGATCTCGCGTCATCTTGCATTATTTTAGGCCTCCATTCTCTGCAAACACACCGAAGGCCTGGAGCAACCAAGAAAGCGAAGATTCTCCATCTTCGCAGGGTGAGTACTGAAGGCCAGGTGCCTAGGGAGACCCACAGCTGGAGTGGGAAGGGAGGAAATAACCCGGGTGACTGTTGCAGAGCCATTGTGGTCACTCGTAGGGACGAATGACTGCTGTGGTGCTGCAATACTCGTAATTTCGGGAGTTGCTCGTAAGCACTAGGCGGCGCTCATCATGTAACTTTGAAGGAGTGTTAAGTGAATGCTCATAACTCGGGGATTACCTGTAATATATTTAATTTCTCTGAGCAAAAAAGTGAAGGTTGGGAGTACTCCCCCTTTTATTGTAAATCCCAAAACCTTTGAGAAACCCACCACCAGTGTAGCATGACATGATAATAAAAATTATTTTTCAAAATTGCAGGGCCAGGATTCCGTGGCCGGTGCATCCAGAGTAACAAATTTTGGTGAAGATAAAAGAAGGGTTTTGAACTCATTCTCCAACTTTCATGTGCATGATTCTGTATATAACCTCCTAAACCCAGAAAGAGACTTACTGGCATGTCCACCAGAAACTGTGCTAAAAAGCAGCAGTTCTTTCGATTTGTCCCAAGGAAGTCCTTACTGTCTTCTGGTCAAAACCTCAGATCAAATTGAAAACAAGCCTACAGATAGCAGAAGTAATTCCAGAGAACAACAGCCTTCCTTTCAAGGAAAGGGACAGAATGAACCCATCTATGCTGAGAGTTCAAAGAGGAAAAAGATGCAGCATAATAACACCAATACATTAAAGAGTGGCGTCTTGACAATTAGCCCAAGTAAAAATCAACAAGATGGAAGAGAGAAGACCTTCCATTTGACCTGCGAGAGGAATTTTCAAGATCCTGCTTTACAAAGAACAGCAACTATTACTCTGATGGCCCCACAAAAAGAAGATGACAGTCGAGCATTTTTTCTTAGCAGCCCAGACTCAGCGGTTGGGGTACAGTGGCCATGTGCTAGCCCCACTATTAGCCCTGATACTGAGAAGTCACCATCTTTCTTTGAGCCTAGAGAGTTGCCACAAGAAAGATGTGATATGAATTCAAGAGACAAAAGCCCAGAGGCTGAGTCGCCAGTGTCTAGCAAGAATATGATTGATAGGAGTCCTGCTATTCCTCCAAAGATGTCCAAAGGAAGCCCTCCTAGACTTGAAGAGTCTCTTCCACAATCAGTCAATTCTTCCATTAAAGCCAGTTCTTCCATTGCTGAAACCTGGGATACCAGCATGCCAAGGGACGAGACAGATGGCACTGTGACTGGGCCTTTGTCCTCCTTATGTTCCCAGACGAACAGCATCTCTCCAGATGAATCCAGCAGAGGTCTTCTGCCCTCAGGCTCTGAGAGAAGACCAAAATGCTACCATGTATCCTGGCACAGGCCAGGTAGGATTGAAGAAGAAGAGGAAGAAGAGCAAAGAAGTGCAGCGGAAATGGAGAATGAAATAACTAGTTCTCCAAGTTTTTCAGATGGTCTTCAGGTGAAACCATGTCCTGTTCAAGCAGTTGGGACTCGAGAAATGGGTCAATCGACAACTTTTGCTTTTGAGTTCCCTAAAGATGAGCCTGGACCTGAGGAAGTTGTAACTCCTCGGCTGCCTCCAAAGAAACCACCCAGGTAAATATTTTTTTTTTTTAAGTTGCTTATAAATAATCAAAGTTAGGTAGATAGGATAAAGGATAAATTCAGGATGTTCCCGGGATGATTCTCTCTTTCCCCCTTTTCTGCTTTCCAGTGGAAACATTTGGGTGCTTCCTAGGATAAAACTTTTGCACGTACATAAGTGTGTGTGTGTGTTCTTGAGCAGCAGCCTTCTATTTTGTAATGATTTCTATTTGAATCAGGGTTTCAGAAAACCATTAGCTGCAACTTAATCGAAATGAAATTTTGCTAATGTGTTTTTAAATAGTGTCTGTATTTCAAAAACAAGTTGAAATCAACCCTAATTTTTTTTCTCCAGTCTGAGACTTTTTAAAAAAAAAACTGATAGATTAAAATAGCATTTCAGATGATTGAGCAGTGAATCAGTCATTTTTCCTGCAACGGGGTCTCTTCAAGCGCAAACAAAAGCACATTGCTGGTCAGAGGAAAACAGATGTGTCTGAAAATGCTCATTCTTCTGACAAGAACTTCATTGTGTTGCTCTGATTAAGTTCACCCTGCTGAATGACTGTCTGTAGAAACCAAGAAGAAATTGCAAGGAAAGGCCTGTGACCATTTATCTGGAAAATCAGAAATTAACCATTGTTAAGAAGTATTTTTCCAAGAGAAAAAAAACTAAAATCGAAGGGAGGGATGAGTTAGAGCAGGCTCCAATCTGCCGTTTTCCAGGCGTGTAGAACTAAAACCCCATCTCCCCAGTCAGCCTCCATGTTGATTAAGAATGATGGAAACTCTAACTCTGTGAAAGGAGGAAGTGGGGAATGGGTATTAAATTGGGGAAAGCAAAATTATAAAAATGGGCATGAACAAGTGGTACTTATAAACTGGTGCTTGTATTTATGGCCATCGCGTGGTAATAATTTCAGATCCTCCCTGCCAGCTTCCCACAAGCAAAGTCAATGGGGAAGTTGGCAGGAAGTTGCAAGGTACAGTAATGTAAGCACCTCATTTAATGACTCACACAACAGTCAGGACTGCCAGAGTGGCTGTTGCTAAGCAGCATGGTAACATGATTTGTTGACTGCGTCATTTTCTATTCTGATTAGCACTTGTATGACCAAGGCAAAGGATGTAGATACTTCTGTGAAATTAGGGGCCATGATTTACTGAGCTCAGGTCAATGTCAATATCAACCCCGCTTTTGAGCTTTCCCTTTCCACATTGAAAAATTGGGATGTGGAAAGTTTGCACCAAAAGGTTGCAATCAGGGTAGGACTACCAGTTCTGGGGTTAAGAAATCCAGACAATAACTAGCTTGTAGCAAAGAGATAAGGAAAACGTTTTGATCTCATTCAGTGCTCAAGTGGATATTTGCAGGCTGGATCTGGTAGCCCTACATCAGATGAATTAGGTGGCCTTATCCATCTTACTACTGCTACTATCGGAACATAATATTGGAATATGATTATTACCTGTACCACATCAGTTGTTTTAAATGATTTGTTGACTTCGCTTACTGTTACATATGTATTCAACAAATCATGGTTGACCCAACAAGGGCTTGGAAAACAATTTTATTATAACTGTATGTTGCTGCCCTTGAAAACATCTGGAACATTCAGAAATGAAGGAATTGCATTTCATAAGACAGTGCCTCCAAACTAAGAGAGCTGTAGTTGTTTCCAGTATTTTTTTTTTCCAGTTCACTTAAACTTTAATGACCTAGATCAGTGGCCAATGAAAATGCATCAGGATCTTTAGGCAGTGGTAGAAATCTTTGTGACTTGTAATAGGTTGTCAAAGGTTCATAACTCTTCAGCATTTAAGATTAGTTTTACAACTGACTCCTGTTGAAGGAATTAAAATTGATCTTATTAGCTTGGTATTGGCCCATCTGTAATCTAAGAATATAGATTTGAGACATCTTAAAGAAAACACTTCTCCCACTTTTTCATGGGAAAAAGATGGGCCCTGCTTCAGATGTTGGCTTGTGAACAGATAAAAGGGGCTCATTAAATTAGCCCCATTATGTGTCCTGGGAAAGCCGTTTGGCTGTTTATCTCAAAATGTAATTCAGGGAATGCTTAAATAAAATGGAATTAAAATTCCTATTTTTAGAGGCTGTGTTACTTCATTTTTAAACTCTTGAGCAGAGTGGCAGAAGGGATGAAGAGTTCTTTGTTTCAGTCAATAGTCAGCGATCAATTAACCTCATAAAACATAATCATCCTTTATCTGTTATGTAGAAGGAAAATGGATCTTTGTGTATCACTCAAATGTGCTGCAGGCAACACTGGAAAAGAAGTATAGAGTTGTCAGAAAAATGTAGTAATTTTTAGCACTTAAAGCCAGAACCCTTTTTGAAGAGGAAAATACAGAACAGCCCTATAAAATTGCTTAGAAGAATGGAGAGAGGCAGGGAGCAGCTTGTAACCTATATGGTTAAACGCCTCTTCCAATTAGCCTTGCCGGTATGTCCAGTAGTGAAGGTTGATGGAAGTCACATTAAAATGATATCTTACACATTGTCTCATTGCAAAGATAATGCAATTACATAATTTGCAGCCGGCATGTCTGTGACTGACACAAATTGCATGAGTGCATCATTTGTGCAATGATGTCGTGAAGGCTTTGCTATCATTTGCCCCCCAGGATACCTACATCTGGAGTTATTGCTTACAATGCAGACCTTTTCTGCATCCAAATTCTGGCTTAAGAATCAAATTGTGCTGATATTCTAAATTAGAAAACATTAAGGCTGCAATGTATGAAAATAAATAAATAGAACTTGCTTCCTCTTTCACACTCACGGAGACACAATATACATGATTGCATTATGCATCTTTTCCTTGTGTGTAGTCTAATCATCAGTCATTTTTCTGTACTTTGAAGAAAGCTACTCCAGATGTTTTCTCCCTCCTCATTACATCTACAGAATACATGCTTTTACTTTTTGAAAAGATGTTTCATTTTTGCAAAAGGAAGCACTACCATTCAATTAAACATGGAATCTCCCCTCTTCAGTCTCTATTTTTAATTGAACCAGTTTAATATGCCAATTAGAACCCACTTTTTTTTTTGCATCATTCACTTAAGTTCTGGAACAGTATCCTTGATTCACTAACTAAATGCATGTTGTAGAAAAAATGCAAATAAATATTTGCACATTCAGATTTTAAAAAATATAAACCACTGTGGAAACTGGAGAGAATGCATTTCTGACTGAAAACAGATGGTCCTTTATTTATGACTGATCGCTTAGTGACCATTTGAAGTTCCAATGAAACACACACACCTCAAAGCTACTTACAACCCAGTTCTGAAGTTCTGGTAGCTGCCACTTCCCCCATGTTCATGTGGTTGCATTTTGGGTGCTCAGCAATTGCCCTCATTTATGGCCATTTGTTGTGTTCTGCAATCGCACAGCCACAGTTTGTGACATTTTTGCTGGAAACTGGTGTTTTACTTCCAATTTCCAGCAAAAACCAGCCCATAGCAAACAATGGGTTTGCTTAATGACTGCCTCATTCACTTAGTGACCACCTCACAGAAGGTTATAAAATCACCAGTCACCTGACCATCACAACTTACAACCGTAATTGCTAAGCTCAATTACCGTCGTGGATGGTGGACTGCCTGAATTGCACAATTGAGCCAGACTGATTCATCCAGCCTAGTCTGGCCTGTTCCCAGGGTGAGGGAGAGACCATGGAACGATCATAGAAAAGACTTTTCTTTTTTCCTTCCCCGTTAGTCCTAATAGAAGATAACTTCTTATTCTTTAGCCCAGGAGGGTTGTTTTTTTTTTTTTTTTGGCAAAGAATTGTACATGCTGCTTGATGGGACCCCCAATCTTGTCTCAATCCTTTTTCAGCCAAGCATATCTATGTTTTTCTCTGTAAAATTGATATTTTTTTAACTTTATCGATTACCTTTTTAATGGGATGAATATTGAAGACTTCATTTATAGCTGACATGTCAAACTCGCGAGGTCATGTGATGTTACGCGATGTATCGGAGCTTTTTTCCCATTGCCAGCAATGGGGTGGGGGTGGTTTCCTGGTGACGCGTCTGGCCCGCGGGCCGGCAGTTTGACACCCCTGATTTATAGATACTGAAAAAATGGTGCCAATGCAGGTTATTATTTCACACTTTCAATCCAGTGAACTCCATTGCTATTCTAAGACTAGCACAGGACTAATTTTTTGGATTGTTTACTCATTTGCACCTGCCAAGGACATTACTTCAAAGCTGCCAAATGCCCCACTTCTTTCAAATATTACCTTTGACTAAAACCTTTGTCTTCACACAGAATATACATTATTTTGAATGTTGAGTAAGGCAGAAATGTCCCTGATCAGGACAGCAAAATGCAGGAACAAAACAGAAAGAATTTATTACTTGGGTTTCAGTATTTTTCAATAGATTAAATACTTCTGTGAACTGTGACTTCCTCAAAGATCAGAATTTGGGACTGTTTCAGAATGGTGTTGTGGGGGTGGGGGTTAGGCCTTCATTGTTGTACTGGTTCTAACAGAATAGCATTTGGTTCTCTTCTGCATTTACAAGTTCAATCTGAAATTCAAAGAACATGCAAATAAGATGTACTGCTTATGGTTGGAGACTGGAAAACCAAACTTGAAAATAGTAACTTGTAAAACTTATGACCTAGGAAATCCCATGATTGCTTTCATTGCTAGCACAATTTTCAGACAACCAGCAGATATCAGCAGATGGAGTTCCCAGAAATCCATTTAACTATATTTTTGGTAAAAAGAGATGGAAGAGCTTGGTTATAACAGCGAAGATGTAATCAGGCTCACTGTGGAACAGATCAAAAAATGCTTATGTGCGAGTTCCAAGTCAAACTAAAGCAAAAGAACAAAGCCAATCAGTTTCTACAGTATGGGAACCAGAGGAACTATGGAACAAAATCAAAGAAATCTTAAGGATGAATGTAAAGGGAGACTGCCAAAGATCAAGAAAAAGAAGAAAGCAAACTGGATGTCAGAACAGTTGTTAGAAATTGCCGAGAAGAGAAGCCAATAAGAAAAATAGAGTATAAATTAAGTTCTCAGAAGGAACTTAACCAAGAAATTCTGAAAGCTGTTAAAAGAGATCAGAAGCAACATCATAATGACATCTGTAAAGGCAATGAAGATGAGAACAGAGGAAGAAAAACAAGGGATGTCTTTTGAAAGATCTCTGAACTAAATTCAAATTAATATGCAAAAAGATGCCAGTGGACAGAATCTGATTTCAAGAAGATCAAACAAATATAGAATATATTGAAATTAAAAAGTAGAGATGTCTAAATGCAAGCTGTCTTACAAGATATTCTAGGATAGCTTCACATTCACATATTCACATTCGCAAGAATCTTTAGTACTAGAAGATTAAGTTATATCAGAATTCCAATCAGTCACTAAGTCACAAGGCTACAGTGACTGATAAAAAATATCTATAAAAATATAGCAACCAACAGAAGAAGAAGAAGCGACATTGCTGCTGTCTTATATTGGACAATCAAGAACCAAAAATACCAAAAAACTCAATATGTGCTTAATTGACTATAGAAAGACCTTTTATAGTGTTGATCACATCCACTTGTGCAATGTCCTTAGAAAAACAATAATCCTAGAACATTTCATTGCCCTCATGCAAAACCTGTACCCAGGGCAATAAGCCACAATCAGGCTGAACTAAGCATGGAAAATCCAAAGCACCAGAAGGACCATGAACACACAGCCATTCAATCTTGTGAAGATTAAGCCTATTCCTCCTCAACAATCTCCAGGCACTGAGATAAGACTTTGATGCCATCACTTGTTCTACAGAGGGTCAGGATGTATAGTTGGGTATCTTCAGCTGATTGATAACACCTGACCTCACATGGATGACCTCATCCAGCAGCTTCATGTATATATTAAAAAGGAGGGGGGCAAGAGCTTTGAACCTGTGCCACACGATACAAACCAGGGGCTTCTGACTCAGTCCCTCCTTTCCTATCAATTTGACTAGAACCAAATTCACTAGGCCTGGTGAAAAGAGTGGTACCACCTCACACCATGCCTCCCAATCTTCCAATCTCAATCTCCACAGTCAGATGGATATTGTTATCAATGATACTGAAAGCAACTAAGATCTAGGAGAACCAAAATGATTGCATCACCCCATCCTGGATTAATAGTTAATAGTTCTCAGCAAATGTTATCAGTACTGTCTATGTCCAGCCTGAAAGCAAATGAAAAAGGTCCAAATAATCTTCCTCCCAGGCTGTCTGAAGTTGCAGCCTAACTATTGTCTCAACAACCTTCCTCAAAAAAAGTAGGCTGGAGACCAACCGGAAACTTTCCATAACACTTTATTTCCAGCAAATTGAACCACCTCCTCCTCAAACATGAATTTATCACTGGGTATATCCAATCAAAAAGTCCTCTCAGGAGGACTTAACCAGCTAGTAAAAAAGTGCATCAAACAAACATGCTGATTAACACTGGCCATTTCTTTAGGATCTACAGCAGTGGTTCTCAACCTTTTTAATGCCGCAACCCCCAACCGGTCGTAAGTCAAGGACTACTCAACCGGTCGTAAGTCGAGGACTACTCAACTGGTGCAGCACTGTTTGCAGAATGGGACTTTTGGCGGGCTCAGCAGGGCAGAGACAGACTGGACAATTCCTATTGGCTTTTGAAAGCCAATAGAATTAGACTCTATTCAAGAGAGTCTATTCTATTGGCTTTCAAAAGCCAATAGAATAAAAGGGAGTAGCACAGCTAAGGAAAAGGGGGAAAAAATGGCAGACTGCGTTGTTTGGCGACCCCCGTGAAATGGTCGTTCGATCCCAAATGGGGTCCCGACCCACAGGTTGAGAACCACTGATCTACAGGATCAAACCCAATGTCATTTAAGGTGCTCTTGTGACCTCTCCCTTCCCACCACTGAGAGCTCTCATATTTTCTAAGTTGACAAAAAAAAATATCCGAGCTGTGTTCTCCAAGCAGCAATGCTTTTATACATCACTTTTATTCCTATTCAGAAAATGCATTTTATACAAAGCATAACACAATGAGAATAAATGGAACTCTTCCACAATGACTTCCTGCAATCAGTGCTGCCGTGCTTTGCAAAGGCAGCTAGCTTGCTTATGAAAAAGGATTTCCAGTCCTGAAAAGAATAGTGAATAGTGACATTCTTTTGACAAAATTAGTTATTGTCAGGTTTTTCTGAACCGAAGTTAGGTCTTCTGATTTTATGCCATTTGATGATGGGAGAGAAAGGGTATTGTTGAGTACCAATAGTACTCTGATGGTTTCTGCTATTTATCCAGCTATTTGGTTTAGTTCTGTTGGGTTATGTTGGTATTACTTTTTATATTATACGTTCATGTTTATTGTGGCTTTTCACATTAACATCTTCTCTGGATGGAAAAGATAGGGTAATCATACTGCGCAAGTAAATGCTAATAAATTTTAAAAGGTAAAACTCAGTAGTCCTTGGCAGTACAAAAGATTAGCAAACAGAGTAGAATAATTCCTGAATAAACATACATATGACTGGATTGTTACTGTGCTTGTTTTTGAAAAATCAGAATCAGATGGACATGGATTTAAATTTATGGCATATGTTGAATGTTTAGGCAAACTAGTTATTGTATAACTAAAGCACATGTATGGACTTTTATATTTTAACATAAAATATAAAAATCTTAACAGGCCTATGCTTACCGAATATTTTAATAACAAACATTGGAGATTAATAGATCTTAACAGGAGTTAATAGACCAGTCCTTTTTAAAAAGAAATAATTGTGAGGTTCTTGAGTTTTACCTTCTTATGTTTGAAATGTCTGAATCAACTTCAAGCAATAGACTATGTTTACTCCAAGAGCTCCACTTTGAAGACATGTCATCATGCTTGTTTATATATCTTGACTTGTTCTAGCCATGGCTTGCAATGACAGACTTTGAATCCACATGCTATGCAAGAGGAATATGTGGGGCAGCTAGAGACAAGAAATCCTATAGACTAAGAGAGTCTCAATCTTCTTCTTTTGCCTGGCAACAAAATCTGCTCCCATCCAACATATCCCTGACCAGTCTTTGCCCCCAAGCTTACCTGTTGAGCTTTATTGCTCTTTAAAAGAAGGAGAATTTTAAAAACATTTCTATAAAAAGTGGGTTTTATAGCAACTGGAAAGCCCAACCAAACCTTTAGTGTGCTACCCTGTTCATAACACCTCTAGGGAAGGCTGGTCAACTACTTCTAAGAAGGAACAAAGGATTCTTTTTTACACTAAAGTGTTGCATTCTTAGTGGACAGGAACCTTTCTGGGATTGAATACATTCCCAAGGGTTTACAAGTGAGAATTAAAACGGCAAGTGTTTTAAAAGGTGACTTGAGATCCATCTTTGCTTGTTGAATGAGACTGTAGGAATAGCTGAGGATGAAGGTCTCTGTACATGGTCAGGAAGTTTGGGCTGAGAAAACACAGATTCTACTCCATCCTCAGCCACAGAAGCTCATTGGGTGACTTTGAGCCATCATCCCTCTCTTGGTCCACCTGCCCCACAGGATTGTTGTTTGGGGGGGGGAGAGGGAAAGGTGTTATATTTTTTCATTAAGGAAGGGTGGAATGAAGGGATGGAGGGAGGGAGGGAGGGAGGGAGGGAGGGAGGGAGGAAGGAAGGAAGGAAGAAAGGAAGAAAGGAAGGAAGGATATATTTCACCACTAATTGTGCCATCCCAGCTCCACTCCAGCCTGTCAAAGAATAAAGTGAGTAGTGAACTTAGGCCAGTTACTTTCTTTCAGTCCTAAAAAGAAGGCAATGGCAAACCACTTCTGGGAGGAAAAAGAAAACTGCAGGGATTTATTTGTCCAGGCCATCTCCAAAAATCAGACAAAATTGAACAGAAAAAAAAACCCTAGCTCAGAGTTATACAATAATCCCTAAACTATCATCTATCCAGAGATTGACAAATTTAGTACTTGTTCATGTTTATAAATATACCACTACACCTTCATCTGTCTATTTCTTTTTATGTTGTGTTGTAGTGAGAGGCCATTTTGTTTGTATGTGCTACATCTTGAACAAAATAGGGTCAAGAGAAATAAACAGACACAAATTGAAGCAAATCTAGCAAAATCAAGGGGCTCTCAAACAGACATAGTATAATTCTTCAAAAGTAACATATCTATTGCATGCATTTACCATATTTTTGTGACATGTTTCCCCCCCAAATTCTAGGCGTCATCTACAAACAACAAAAAATGGTGAACTGGAGCAGTTGATTAGTGATTCTACCGAGAGCCTCAAGGGATCAACAGCCAGCTTGAATTTGGATACAAATGCACTCAGCAGTGGAGGTAGCTAAATTTTATGTACCAGTGTGGAATTGTGGTGATGATGTAAGAAACATATTCTACAATGGAATGACTTATACTTTGCACTTCTTCAGTTGATCCAAAAGCAAACTTGTCCTATACATTCAGCTTGTCACTTCTCCAAGGAATCTCTAGAGCAATCTTCTTGGGAGGACAAGAAGAGAAAACCATATGCTTATGGTGATTTATAAAGCTTGTTCCTTCACAAGTCAGGGAGGTATTACAGCAGGGGTCTTCAAACTTGGCAACTTTAAGACTTGTGGACTTCAACTGGCTGACTGACTAATTCTGGGAGCTGAAGTCCAGAAGTCTTAAAGTTGCCAAGTTTGAAGACCCCTTTATTACAGGGATGCAAGAACACCAGTAAGTAGTGAAGGAATAATACAGCTTATTCATTCATTCATTCATCTGGAATATTTACATCAGCAGTCCCCAACCTTTCTAGCTTTGTAGACTGGCACCGGTGGCAGCAGGGCGGAGGGGATGGTTGCATGCATGCAACCTGATCCCAAGCGTGCGCAAATGGAGCTTTGCATGGTCGCCTGTTGCTTGCACGATCCAATTTCCAATGGACCGTGGACCAGTAGCGGTCCAGAGCCCAGGGTTGGGGGCCACTGATTTACATAATCGCCCAAGTCAAACAACAAAATTCTAGCTCACAAAATCATTTAGCAAAAATACAAAAGGAAACGAATGCCTACCACTACAGCAGGCTAGAACAATTAAATGCAATTGGGACTAAAATATATTATAGCTCACCAGTTAGGAATTCTGCTCATCCTGATCTAAGAATCTAGGAAAACATCCAGATCTTAGCTACCTTTCTAAAGAACTGCAGAATTAGGAACCAAGAGGGACACTATTCAAAAGACACCACTGGCAAAAGCAATGCAGTGCTTTTTTCTCCCACAGCTAAACATAAATTCTGTTTTCTATACTTCTTGGTATATATTGCTATGAGGTGCAAAAATGTTTTCTGGAGTGCTTGTGCAGAGTGCCAGTAATGGAGTTATTCAATTTCTTTGTTGCCCTCTGCAAATTGAGAATGCACCAAGTAGAGATGCTGCAGGGAAGAAGAGTATCGATAAACAAGCAAGGTGCCCTTTAGGAAAAAAATTATCCAGCCTTATTTTTTCATTGAGAAATTTATAAAAAGCTTCTGAAGACCTGCTAGCATACACTGTAACATAGCATGAAAGTCAGAATAGGAAAATACATTTTCCCAACTTAAGAAATTGCCTAATTACCCAAACTAGAGCAAACTACAGAACTCTCTGTCGCCATTAGAAATAAAATATTTATTCATTCATTTATTTGTCATATTTATACAGCTGTCCATCTCACAATCAAGTGACTCTTGATATAACTGTAATTAGTCTTTCCCAAACAAATGAGACAGCTTGCTATGTCACTACATGATTTTCTGCGTTGTACTTGCAAATCAATACATAATGCAAAACTAGAAAAAGCAAGCATATTCCTTACTTGTGAATTTAATTTTTGAAGGGGAATGCAACTTAATTCCAGAAATTTAAGATAAATTTCGTTTAAAAAAGGCATGTTTCAGCCAACATTGGTTTTTCAGTATGTAATACTGAGCAGACATGCTTTTTACTAGGCTCTCATATGGCTGACTTTCTGCTTAAATGTTTACCGTGTTCCAGCTTCATTTCTGTAGGGCAGTCAGCCGTGCTTGCCTATATGACAAAATGTCAATGATCTTCAAAACACTACATGGCATTGACTTCTACCTTTCAATAGTGTTTCTTTATTATACTTAGTGATTCATTTCCCATATTAGTCAGTTTATTACAGTCCTAGACCAGTACACCCATATGAATATAAACATGAGTTATACTTAGTTTCCAGTATAGAATTTGTTGGAAATGTACTTTGAACTCCACACAAAAACTCAAATTTTAAGGTGGTTGTTGCTACTAGTTTGGTTTGAAAATATATTTCCCCACCTTCTCCAAAATTTTCTCCCCAAAAATGGAATGTGAGAGATAAAGCAACAGTTGTCCAAAATGACTGAATCAAGAAAAAATCCCATCAAGAAGGGTTGCACCACTGCCTTCTTCAAAGCAGATGGCACAGCCCCCTTCCTCAAAGAAATGTTAACCATTTCCCAAATCTAGTCATAGAGAGTGAGTTTAACCACCTTTACTAACCAGATAGGTCTAGATCTAGTCTATGAGTGGCAGAACTTATATTACAGAGAGCTGTATCTAAATCCTTGGCCTCCACAGGCCCCACACATAAATACTTGAACAGCCTGTCAATCTAAGTGATCTTGCTCTATTAATCCCATTTCTTCTTCCACAAAAAATAATCTTGCTAGAAGCATTGTATGCCCATGATATGTTCACCATAGATGGAGAAATAGGCTTTATGGAGCACTGGGATGATGATGATGATGATGATGATGATGTAGTACCAATAGTAATAGGCACCTTGGGTGCAATCCCAAAACAACTGGAGCACCATTTGAACACCATTGGCATTGACAAATTTGCCATTAGTCAATTGCAAAAGGCAGCCTTACTAGGAACTGCTTCCATCCTGCGACGATATCTGTAATATCATCAAACATCCACATCTGCATATCCCAGGTCCTTGGTAAGGACTCGATAGGTAGACAAAAATGCCAAATTCAGTCTGAACATCTGGCTGACTGTGCAATGATTAATAATAATAATGATGATGATAATAAAGTTGGAAGGTTGGAGGTCATCTAGTCCAACCCCCTGCTCAGGCAGGAAACCCTATACCAGTTCAGAAAAATGGCTGTCCAGTGTTGGAGCATTCACAGCTTCTGGAGGCAGGTTGTTCCACCGGTTAATTGTTCTAACTGTCAGGAAATTTCTCCTTAGTTGGTTGGTTAATAGCTAATAGTTAATAGTTCTGTCACAAAATGCAATATTATCTACCTATTTCCCCCAAAGTCAGAGGATAGAGTCAAAGGGTATGGGATATAGTTACAAGCTGACATGAGGATCAGCAGCAAGAGTAAAAATTATAAGATCATTTTTATCTATTTTGCTGAATTATAAAGAAACTGCTGACAGTATTATGATTTCAAAAATCAAGTGACCCAACTTTGGGGGGAAATGGAATATAGCACAGACCTGTCCTGTCCAGATCACGTGCTACATCTATAAGATGTGACAGAAACACATAGTCCAGTCTGTGACTAATTTTGTCATATATAAAGTGAATTGAGCCCTGGGTCCATTACTGTTGTTGTCATCTGATAATCCAGCCGGGTGCCTAGAAAAGCTTTGCTGCAGCAGGGATCAACGGTAGTGATTGCTGAACAACCATTGTCAGTGATATTGATACAAGGGAAGTCATTTGTTCCCATACCATCTTTATTTGGTAATAAAGATGTTCTCGGTAAATAATTCTGTTCTTTGCTTCTACGTTTCCTTTTTAGATAGAACTTGATACTAGACTCATGATGTAAAATGTCTTTATCCACGCTGCCATGATTTTCTGTCTTAAAGTCAGTGTACTTGTGTCTGTGTGTTTTAGGAGAATTGTGCAAAATGAGTCTTCATTCCTCCACCCATCCTGAAAAACCTACCTTGCCTTCCGTTCATTTTTCTGCGTGTTTGACTGAAAACACGGCACCGTGCAAAACTGGGGAGCCACCGCCTCTGCCCCAGAAGAAAACTGTCAGCAGAGCTCTTTCATCACCCGATGGATTTTACTGGGGCTCATCCTCTCCGTCCAAAGCAGCGGTCTTCCCGAGCTTCAAGCTGAACTCCAGTCAATCAGAAAGTAACGTCTATATCCAAGAAAAATCTCTCTTTTGCTCTAACTTGGGAATTAACCATCATACAATTTCGTCTTCTGAGTCTCTGGGAAAAAACTTCATAGGGTCCACCGCTACTCCGTTCCCAAGTTCTACTAAGAACAGCAGCCTTTGTGGCTTTCAGGATAGAAACTTTCCGTCTCGTTCTTCCTCACAGCACAGCATATCCATCCAGGTCTCCTCAAGTTCTAGCCTTCATCTCCACAACCTCTTCAGCAACATCAACAGCAAAGAAGGCATCTATACCAAGTTGGGAGGACTCTATGCAGAATCCTTGCGCCGCCTGGTCTCAAAATGTGAAGATTATTTTATGCATGATCAAAGAACTGAGCTGCGTTTTAGTGAGAACTACTGGCCTTTCTTCAAACTTACGTGCAACAAGCCGTGCTGTAATGCGGGAGATGCGGTATATTTCTGTGCAACGTGTGCCAAGGATCCTTCCAGCACTTATGCAGTGAAAGTAAGTAGTTGAAGAATATCATTTTGTAATGTAGGAGTGGGAAACATTTCTTATGCCCAATGCCCCATCCAGGAAATGTATCCAGCCAAGAGTTCAGCTAAAGCCAGAGCAAAGAAGGAGCAGGTGCTCCCATCCTGCAAAGTCCTTTTTGTCTTTGCAACATTTCAAATAACTAGACGAGGAAACCACTCTCCAGAAGCAATGCAAAAGTCCAGAGAGCAGGTAAACTTAGAACTAAGGAGAAATTTCCTAACAGTGAGAACAATTAACCAGTGAAAGAGCTTCTTCAGGTTGTGGGTGCTCCATCACTGGAGGCTTTTAAGAAGAGATTGAAAGCCACTTGTCTGAAATAGCATAGGGTCTCCTGCTTGAGCAGGAAGTTGCACTAGAACTGTGGTAGAGAACCTGTGGCATTCAGAGCCCTCTCTGTGGGCACATGTGCCATCGCCCCAGTCCTAGGCCTTCAGCTTTAGGTCTCCGCCGCCATGTGCAAAAAAAAAAAAGGTTCAATCAATCAATTTCAACTTCTCCTGGGGAAAAAAAAAGATCCCACAAAGTTGGAATTGATTGATCAAACTTTTTAATCCCACCCAGTCTGCCGTTACCACCGCAGCCATGCCCACCCCACTGGCCATGCCCACCCAATGGGCCACACCCACCCGGCACCCAATGATACATAAGTGGGTTTTGGGTTGCAGTTTGGGCATTCAGTCTCTAAAAGGTTCGCCATCAGTGGACTAGAACACCTCCAAGGTCTCTTCCAACTCTGTTATTCTGTTATCTTGAGATCTGCATAATGATAAAAAAAAGTTCCACCTAGGTGGAAATTCTTCTCCGTTGCAGGGGCTTTTATCTGGTCTCTTGCTGCTAGGAAAAGACGTCTATCATTAGTCTGGACACTTTACTAGCTCTTAAATGTATCTCCTAAAGCAGTGTTGACGAACCTATGGCACGGGTGCCAGAGGCTGCACTCAGAGCCCTCTCTGTGGGCACGCGCACTGTTGCCCCAGTCCTAGGCATTCAGCTGGGTTTTATAAAACCTTTTCACTTTAGGCCTCCGCCGCCGTGTGCCAAAAAAAAAAAAGGTTCAATCAATCAGTCAATTTCAACTTCTCGCGGAAAAAAAAAGATCTTGCAAAGTTGGAATTGATTGGTTGAACTTTTTAGTCCCACCCAGTCTGCTGTTATTACCGCAGCCACGCCCGCCCAGTGGGTCAGGCCCACCCAATTGGCCATGCCCAACCGGCACCCGACGATGCATAAGTGGTTTTGGGTTGCAGTTTGGGCACTCGGTCTCTAAAAGGTTCACCATCACTGTCCTAAAGTCATTGTTGAGTGGCTTTGCTTGAGGTGAAATATTGGCTGATCATGAGAACTTGAGAAAAGCACCCATTTCTTTTGCTTTGTCTTGCTTTGCCTGTGTAATTGCTCAAGGAATTTTCACTAGTCTGATTTAAATGCTCAAATCAGTTAGTCTCTTTCAAAATTCCTCAGATATATGGCCTGAAAGAAAACTCCAGGTTTGCTGGAACATAGGGTCAAACAAATATACTATAAACTTTTTTTTGCTTTTATTATTCTGATCAAAATGTTTTTGGGCTTCAGTTTGAGGTCTTTTGGGAGATTTTACCTGGATGAGACAATTCTCTTCAAACGACAAAATTCAGGGGCGAATAGCAGCTAGCAGGATTTAAGCCCATTGAGAAACCAATGTGGATTAAAAAGGTGAGCATCAAGAAAAACAGCTAGGGAACAAGTACAAAATGCCAAGTCAGAACAAATAGAAATTTGGAAAAAAAATCTCTCTCTAACACTGTCATCAAAAAAGGAGAATTTTTGGGCTTCTGCCAGTGTGCTTGGCACCAATAGTTCTCCTTCTTTTAACAGGAAAGTTAAGTGTCTGGAGTTAGGCCAAGAGGGTGTGTTGCTGGGATTGTTGTCCTGGCATCCCTTTTAGTGCCAGGAGAGCAGAACAATTAGGAGGTGAGTCTTGACCCTTCCAACATCATTTGAGCACAAACTTGTGCCAAGAACTTCACGAGGCCCTGAATTCCTGTGATTCATGAGAATCCTTCATGGGTGCAAATGATTCATCCTTTCCAAGACATTTGGCCATGTAGGGCAGACTTCCAGAGTCTTCCTGTGTTCAAACCCACCAAAGCTTTCTTGGCAGTTGCCACCTTCGTTCTGGCTTTTGGTTCTGTAAGTTTTTAAATTCTTCAAAATGAAAAAGGTCTTCTGCAGTCATGACATAAGCCTAAGACTGAAAATCAGGCTTGTCAGATGCTATGTTTTTTCTATCCTGCTCTGTGGAGTAGAGAGTTGGTCTCTGACAGAAGGCTACCTGAATTGACTAGAAGCATTTGAAATGTGGATTTACAGGCAGCTGTTACGTATAAGCTGGGTTGACAAGATCAGAAATGAGGAGGTGATAAGCTGTCTGGGAAAGCCAAGGAAAATCATCAAAACAATTAAAAAATGAAAATTAGAATATTTTGGACATGTGATGCGACACCCAGAAAAATACGGCATACTCCATTTAATCCTCCAGAGAAAGATTGAAGGCAAATGAGGTCCAGGCAGAAGAAGAACATCGTGGCTTCAAAATCTAAGGGACTGGTTTGGACAAAACTCAGCAGCACTTTTTCGTGCAGCTGCTCATAAAAACAGGATCGCCAACATGATTGCCAACGTCCGATAACGGATATGGCACAAAAAGAAGAAGTTTTTAAAGGATGCCCTGGCATAACTGCACACCCTTAAGGAAAAAATGCCACCATCCTTGCACTTCCAAAAGAAAAAAAAAAGATATTTTCAAATTATTTCAGTCACATAATTTTGATTGTTGCTTCCTGCTCTTGGTTCAAGATACAGTTACATCTTTTTAATCCAAGGAGGCTGGAGATGGTCTTAGTTGCTTTAAAAGTCCAGAAGCTGTATTACTTTAGTTCCGTTGATTCCTTTGCCTTTTTTGGATTGTGGCCTTAATTTTCAATGCTGTGCACGAAGTGTTGTCTGCATGGATGCCAGTTTCACAAAAGGAAAGGGCTTGCTCTCCTGTCAGTCAAGCAATCACACGGCGTGTATTCACAATGAAAGTTTAAAAACAGAGTACGCTATTGCCAGGAAAGGAAATAAGCCTTTTTTTGTGTTCATTGCAAACCACACGTGTTTGTGCCTATGTTACAAAATGTGCCTTTATTGTCTCAGGCCAGCATTGTAGCATTATAAGGCCAAGCCCAGAAAACTAAGATCTAAGTTAGGCTGCTGTGCACTACCTCGTTGTGGGAAAATTTAGTTAAACGGTTTGGGATAATTCTTTCAGTTTTCACTGCTGAAATATTTGATTGATGGATATATTTCAAGACATAGTCACTGAGCGAAATAATTTTCACATATGCATCTCTTATGTTGCAAAAATCTGGAGCATTTCACATAATATCCGAACTCCTTTTTTTTTCTTCTGCTATTTGCAAGAGGTGGATAGGATAGCCTTGCATAATTTGGGGTTTTTAGCATACAGTGCAAGAAGAACCACAATCTTCATCTGTATTTTTTTAATCCAAGTTAATAATGAGACAGGTTCTTTGGATAAATTGTAATCCAGGAAGAGATATAAAGTAACCCTCCTTTTAAAAGAGATGTTGTAGTGTAATAGATTTATTAGATTATATTCCTAAAGTTTTAGATCCTGGTGTGTGTGTGTGTGTGTGTGTGTGTGTGTGTGTGCTTGAAATAAAACAATAAATTAATTTATATTTGAAGAAAGATTAAAAACAGCAGTGAAAATCATTTTTTTACTTATGGGAGTCCAATAAAAATGGAGTAATTAATAATAATTTTCAGTAATATTAATTGTAGTAGCAATAACAACAATATAAGAATATCAATGTGTATACACGTTTTTCCCTGTTGAGTTGTGTCCAATTCTTGGAGACTGACTGAACAAGTTCCTGCAGTTTTCTTGGCAAGGCTTTTCAGAAGTGGTCTGCCATTGGCTGCTTCCTAGGGACGAGAGAGCGTGATTGGCCCAAGGTCACAAGTTGGCTTTGGGTCCAAGGCAGGACTAGAACTCACGGTCTTCCAGTTTTTAACCGGATGCCATCACCATTACAGAAAACTGTTCTTTACACTTTATAGAGTATCATAAGGGAAAAAAATAGTTTTGGAGACAGGTTGTCTCCATTTAGATTAGATTTACAGAAAGGGAAGGGTGGGGGGTGAGAAAAACCTAAGAGAGTAAGCCAGTACCAGTGGGCTGACATCTAAATTACTCAGCAGAAGTCAATATGAAAACTAGGAGACTTCCTCCATTTCTGATCCTTCCTCACCTTCTGCTCAATCTTAGCTACCTATCATTGATATTTAGCAGTGATTGGCAGCTCACACTCTAAAGGTATTTGGAATTCAATTTATGTCAGTCACAGAAGCTAAAAGCTTTTGTACTCTAAAATATCTGAATATTTTGTAGTCTAAAATATCTGAAATTGCTCTTTAGTTCAAAACATCTCTAGATGCCTTTCTTCGTGACTCAGCTGCTTTACCACTCAGCTGCTTGGATATCTCTTTGCTTGCTAATTGCTTTAGGGAATATCTTTGTCTCTGTATCCATTTCTTTGTCTCCTAATCAGTTTCCAGATGTTAGTGACATTTTCAATCAATCTTTGCTTGTGCTTTTTCCTCACAGATATGTACCTACCAAGACGTTAAAGCTGCAGCATCCTGTATTAGCCCTTCCATTCCCGTTCACTTCAATATCCAACAGGACTGTGGGCATTTTGTAGCCACTGTGCCCTCCAGCATGGTGAAAAATGCTTCCGTGGACAGCCAGTGTCCTTCCCACTCTGCCACTGAGCAAGAGTGTGTGGTTGTCATTACCCGCGAAGTGCCACACCAGACTGCTGCCGACTTTGTGGGAGTTGCTGAAACTTTCCATAAAGATGAGCCGGACCAGTATGAGAGGAGAGTGTGTTTCCTGCTGCTACAGCTTTGCAATGGATTGGAGCATCTTAAGGAGCACAATGTCATTCACAGAGATCTTTGCCTAGAAAACTTGCTGCTGGTGCGCTGCAAACCTTTCATAGGCTGTAGCAGGACCAAAAATGACAAGCATCTGCCAAGGCTCCTCATCACCAATTTTTTAAAAGCCATGCAAAAGCCAGGCACCAGTGAGTCCAAATCAAAGAAGAACCAGGCCCGGTTAGCTCCAGAGATAGTATCTGCCTCCCAGTTCAAAAAGTTTGACGAATTCCAAACCGGCATTCTCATCTATGAGCTTCTGCACCAGCCTAACCCATTTGAAATTCAGACCCGTCTCAGAGAACAAGGATACAACCAGGATGACCTCCCTGCCCTTCCCAACCTTTCCATTTATTCCAGCGGGCTCCAGAAGCTTGCACACTTGCTCTTGGAAGCAGACCCCATCAGACGTATCCCCATCACCGAAGCCAAGCGGATCCTGCAATGTCTGCTTTGGGGCCCTAGGAAAGACATAGCAGATCAGCCACTAAAGCACAAGGACGCCCTTCACGGAGCTCTTCAGAACTGGATTGACATGAAACGGGCCTTGTTAATGATGAAGTTTGCTGAGAGGGCAGTGGATGCAGAGCACAGCGTTCAGCTAGAGGACTGGCTTTGCTGCCAGTATCTAGCCTCTGCAGATCCCTCCTCTCTTTTCAAGTCTCTGAAACTTCTTCAGCTCCTTTGATCTCTGTAGTGTTTTCAAACGTGGCATTGGTTCTGGCAGAATCTGCATAAGAGTGCACTTGGCTCTGTTGAAAGTGGGCGCACACCACATTTTTCCTTTGTGTAACATTAACTGACCAATTTTTTTTTTTAAAAAAAAGATAATGCATTTTATGCTGTCATTGTGAATGTTATAAAAATGTAAACAGTGTTATCTAGATTCCACCTCTAAGTAACTCTTGAAAGCTTTGGGGTTTGTTTTTTTCCCAATTTGAAGGAATTTGTTCTTGTAAAATGGTTTGTTGTTATTTTCATATGAAATAGATTTAAGTTAAAACAATATCGGCATTTTGTTTTATTTTTGCGGGTTAAAGAAAACCGTTCAGGGAGAAGTGTGCAGCCAGGCCCCAGCAATGTTGCCTTGAAATTGCATCTTACCGAACCACTGAAACTGCTCCTTTCAGTTTTGTTCCAATTCCATCTTGCCTATTTGGGTTCAAATGGGCTTAGTGCACTATTTCTGAAGCTTATGCTGGTTGGGGAATTCTGGGAGTTGAAGTCTATACGTTTTAAAGCTAAGGATTGAGACAAACTGGCTTAGAGAATACAGGGCAGGGGAATGATGGGATCTTTCAGAGGAAAGAGAAGTAGAAAGTTGAACAATAGGAAAATCTCTTTGGGGTTAGCTTCAGAACCATATTCAGCAATATTTCAGGCTCTTGTTCAAAGGCAGCCTATGTACACTGAATTACAATAATCCCAATGCATGATGAATTCCTAGCGGGAGGACAATGGCGGGGGGAGTGGAACTGTTGTAAAATGGTGCCTCTGATCCCAGTATCTGCAAGCAGAAGAATATTCTAGCAACACAGGGCCTTCCCCACAGGTCTGATTTTATATCCTTAATTACTCCGTGTGTATTTTTTTGGGATTGTTCTCTTCTTGTTAAACAAGATTCTCTTCCTGTCTTTCTCTTGAACATGCAAATAATCTCTTGGCATGGCAATATTTCCTCTTCTGACCGAGTTTCTTTCACTGTGATTCTGAACACAGTAATCATTTGCAAGGACAGAAGAAACCTAATCTGCCTGATTCCCCAACCTCCTTTGAACCAACTCCTTCCTTTATGCCTCGTTTGAAACCACATGCAATTATGTTGGGCTTGCTTAGCAATTTTGGGTTTATATATAGAGTATCTATTTCTAAATTTTTTGAATTGGGATCGTATAAGTTTCAAAGTATAACATAGAGATGGACAATCCAAAGCCTAGGGCTGCATGTAGCTGCTCAAACCCACATTTCAAAGGCCCTAGGGCCTTCTCATCCACTTCTAGCAACAAATGCTTATGTTGCATGGCACAGTTTCCCGTATAAGAAAACTGTGATGTATTCTCCAGAATCCAAAGGATAATAAATGGTCTCTCAATAAATTGTGGTCCTCACTGTATCATCAGCCAATGATACATACAGTCTCTAGATACCAAATTTTGGTCTCCCCTGGTATATAGGACAATTGAAACACCCTCTGAAAAGTTTTAACAGTTCTGTCAGGCTTTTCATGTGCATTATGCACAGAAAAGGGAATTCATAGGAGAGATTTTGCAGCTATTGAGACTATTCTAAATAATAGAAAATGCAAATATTTGTTATGCACTCTGAGCTATGTGAATAGTACAATCTTGCTGAGTTACTGGAACGAATGCCTATGATCTGATACATAACATCTCTACAATATCCGCACTGAGACATTTGAGGAAGCACTGAAGCCCCGGCAGCCATATTGTTTACAGAGGGCAGTGAGGAACAATGTAAGATTTATATCACCAGCTTTGTAATGTAAAGAACAGCAGCATCTAGTTTCTTAGTCATACTATGATTGGTTTGGATATCTTCCCATTTTCCTTTACTAATCTCATATAACTCAACACTGGAAGGGATTGAAAAGAAAAGGCATGCTGTAAAGGTTATAAAAGAGAGTATTGCAACTCTTATTCCATACGTTTTCTCTCTGGGGCCAAAATTAGAGAGACCAAGTGGCACCAAACAGGGCCTTGGGGGTACTTCTTGTTGACCCCGTGCACGATTAAAATGAATGCAGTCATTATAACACATTACCTCTTTTCTATATTTATTTTAATGAATAAAAAGGTGTAATAAGGATAACATTGAGAACCAAAATAAGTTATTCTGTCAATGACAAAACCCAAAATTATAATTATTTTCTTTCTTGTCCTGTTCATCAGCCTTAAATGGTGCAGAAGTGATATTAGAAGGGACAGAAACAACATATTGGTGGTGGTGATACAGGGTGAAATCCAAACCTTAAAACCAATGAGCTTTTTCATCTGACTTTGTTTTCAAGTCAATGGATATTTGAACATCTGCCAAGTATTCACAGGCAGTCTTCAACTAATGACACAAATGGGCAATAATTTTTATTTATTTTAATCTTACATATTAACCTCTATCCCACTTTTATTATTTTTACAAATAAGTCAAGGCAGCAAACATACCCGACCCACCTTCCCCACAACCACAACCCAGTGAGAGGAGTTGGGCTGAGAAGATCACCCAAGTGGCTTTCATAGCTAAGGAGGGACAAGAATGCACAATTTCCCACTTTCTAGCCTGTTGCCTTTTGCCTAGACCCATGGTGGCGAACCTATGGCACGGGTGCCAGAGGCGGCACTCAGAGCCCTCTCTGTGGGCACACGCGCTGTTGCCCCAGTCCTAGGCCTTCAGCTGGGTTTTATAAAACCTTTTCGTTTTAGGCCTCCGCCACCGTGTGCAAAAAAAAAAAAAAGGTTCAATCAATCAATTTCAACTTCTCGTGGGAAAAAAATAGATCTCGCAAAGTTGGAATTGATTGAACTTTTTAGTCCCACGCAGTCTGCTGTTAACATCGCAGCCACACCCACCCAGTGGGCCACGCCCACCCGGCACCCAATGATACATAAGTGGGTTTTGGGTTGCAGTTTGGGCACTCGGTCTCTAAAGGGTTCGCCATCACCTCTAAAGGGTTCGCCTAGACCAAACTGGTCCTCTGTTTTTCTGTTGCTAAAGTCTGTTACTCAATTTTTTCCTGCCTTTTCTGTTGTTAAGTGAGTTGCATCTGAATTTACAACCTTTTTTTTGCGACAATTGTTAATGAATCACTGCAACTGTTTTAAGTGAATCGAGCAGTTAAACCAATCTGACTTTCCCCACTGACTTTTCTGGTCAGAAGCTAGCCTGGGGGGGGGTCACGCATGGCAATCACATGACCCGCTGGATGCTGCAACCATTGTAAATGCATGCCTGTTGCCAAGTACCTGAATTTAGATCACGTGACCACAGTTGCTGCAACAGTTGTATTAAGTGTGAGGAACAGTTGTAAGTGGCTTTTTTCAGTGCTCTTGTAACTTCGAACAGTTGCTAAACAGATGGCTGTAAGTCGAGAACTAACTGTATTGTCTTCATTTTTTATCCATTTTTTTATCCCCTGATATTGGGAAACAAGGAGACGGGGGGGGGATCTTCACGCCCAGATGCTATTAAAAACACAGGAGAAGCACCAAGATAGTGATGCATTTATTTTTAAGGAAGTCTGAGTGGATATGAAAAGTCAATAAAGGAAAGGCTGTTTCAGTCCTGACTTGCCACAGATCCTGGTCAGTGGTTGTCACCATTGACCAAAGAGTTATGGAGGTGTTTCCCCTAACTTTTGCAGAACCAGTTGTTTGGTTTTTATTTTTGAACAGAATCTATATAACCTCTTTTTCTCCCACTAGTTACTGCTGCCAGTACTCTGAAACTGATATCCACCAAGATGCCACAATTCCTCTTAAACTGTCTATAATACACACCATCAGATCTTAGAATAAGGAACACACATGTGTTTAAATCTCCTGGCTACATCTCTCTTATTTATTTTATTTTTTTTCCATATATTTTATTGATATTTTTAAACATAAATAACTTAATAATTGGTAAACAGTGTATTTTCTGGGTTTACATTTGTAAAGAAAAATCATTTCCCCCTTTCCCCAAAATGTCTTCTTTGCAAACCTTGAAATAATACAGTTCTTATTATTTTGATAAATAACAGTTACATATATAATTTTTTCCCAATATTTCTAGAAATAATGATCACATCAATATAATATTTCTTTTCTATCTAATCATTCTGGTTGCCTCATCTTATATCCTGTTATAGTCCTTATTTAGATTTGTTTCTCCCATAAAGTTCAAAGTATTCTTGCTGGTTAAGATTTTCTCAACAGTTAATTACATTTAAAGATTTAAATCCATTTTTCCCATATAAACCATTTCAACACTTTTACATTTCTTAAAGAATAGGTGAAAACAGTAAACAAAAGGAAAAGAGAGCAAGAGTAAAGAAACATAAAAAGTAAAATACTACTTAAAATATATATTCCTCCTAAGCTAATATATATTCATTCCCAAAATTTCTTATTTTTTTTCTAAAGTTTATAATTCTCTCTTTGTCTGCAGCCCAGATTGTTGTCTTTTTTTTGTCACAGCTGCTCTTTATTATTAAAGCTTTGAAGGTCACAAACACAGATTAGCTTTTCCCAGGTTTTGGCAAGTTCTCTATGGAAATCATAACTGTCATAATCTTCATCCACCACTAGGTGTCAGCATCTATTTAGTTTTCAGTATGAAAATGAGAGTCTTAACTATTCAACAATTTTAAACTTGTCCAAAGTTAAATTTTAGCTTTCAAGTTTATAAATTATTTCACTACCATATATTTTGATCCTCCATAGAAATTTTAATTCGCCGCTTCCAATAGTATAAGGGTGGGGTGGACGCCCCCCTCCTTCACTATCGGAGATATTTTGCTTCTTGGAGATCTTTTCCAGGAAATTAAGTGTAGAATAAAAAAGGGTGAGATTCCTCACCCAATTTCAAGCACACTGTTTACTGTTGTGCTGGTTAGTTCTTTTGGACTTTGGTTGCAAGTAGCTTAGGCTGATCGATGAAATACAGCTTGTCTCCTGTCGGGTTAGAAGGCTTTCCCCAAAATGAATGGAGCGACTGCCATCATTCCAAAGTCGCCGGGGCACCCTTCTTTCTTCGCCACCTCTCCGGGGCAGCTTGGACCCATTAGGGTCTCCAGGCAGAATGAAAGTTAGCCACGGGGGTGCGGCAGTCTGCAAGCCCGCAATCAGTCGCTACCGCACAGGACTGGAAGTCTCCTCTCTTGTTTATTTTAATATATTCATATTCCACTCAACCCCAATGACTCTAGATGGCTTTCATACTTTTAACAGGAGTAAAATTCAACTTCACAAAATTATAAGCCCAGCCAACCACAAAAAAAATTAAGCATCCTAT